TTAAAATTTCGTCGGAACAAAGTTACGGAAAAATCAATTAACAAACGGAGACGTAACAATATAGACGGTTTAGGAAGAACAATCCTTAAAACTTATAATACCTGCGAGGCAACACAAAATCATCGTTAACTTTGAACCACTTATATTTGACATGTTACAGAATTTTTCATTTATTTCTAAGTTGCATAGCCGGTTTATTTGAGATTTCAAAAAGACTTACCTTCGTATAATCACTAAGAAAAAATGCTTGCTCTAAACCGCTATAAACTGTAAGCGGGATGAGAAGAAGCTGACGAGGATTTTTAAGGTGTTTTAGTGTTGCCAGTAGAAGTCGAACACCTGTTAATTTTTTTTCAAAATAGACGCTTTCTCGTTCCAGGGGATCAAGAAATAATCCAGTTAAGATAGCACCACAAAGAGCAGAGGCTAGATAGATTCCAATTAACATGTACACTTTCCAGTCTTCTGGCTGTTTAAAAAGTTCACTTTCAATTTGGTTACAAAAGTTTGATCCGCAGAGCAACGAATTGAAATCTTGACTGTTTACTTGGAAACTGGTTTCATTTTCCGGGCGAAGAACATAGTACGATATCAGATTTCCCCAAACTTGAGAAGACTGAAAAAACATGAAAAATATGCCAAAAAATCGAACGATTATCGTGTCTTCAGCTGTATGGACAATCTCAGCATACTTGATGCCTATTTCGTTCAAATACGTACATTTTGCGGACCATAAAGGAGCAGCTCCAAGGCCCAAGATAAATCCTCCTGGTATAAGCGTTCCCCAATGAGGATAAAAATTTGCTGTTATAAAAGGAACGTAGCACAAAATCGCCAACACTATTGTTCGCTTACAACCAAATTTTTTTATAAGAAAAGATGGGAGAAACATCGACGATAGGATTAAAGCCCCATAAATAACACTCTGTGAGGCTACACCAACTCCCTCTTCACTGTTTAAAGTACTCTGAAGATTTGCAAGAGCTTGAAATGTGGTAAACAAGAACAAAAATCCAAAACATATGACTATCAAATTCTTAATCAGTCTTCCTTTACTCACGGGAACGTACTTTTCGGTAGACAGGTTTACAACTGGGGTGCCATTAGATTGTGGTGTTTCCTCAGTTTCTCGTTCGGACATAACAAAAGTAATGTTATTATAACCGTCATCCGCCATGATTGATTTTATCGTTTATAAATTATAGAAAATAGACGCCTGACTTAAACAAAAAGACTGTGAATAAGTTGAACGATGTATCAATTTTATCAAAGAGAAGATTTGTAACACAGCGTTGAAATATGTGAAATTGTGTAAAGGTGATAAGGAGCAGGGTGATGTGATAAGAGTTTAATCTATATATATCGCTATCACACACACACTTCGTAATCCGATTGTTACCATTTCGTTGTGGAGTGTAAATAAAAATTGGGGAGCGAATTCGACATTATAGTCATAAGATGATGAAACCACGATAATAATCGCTCCGCTGAAAATGAGGTGTGAAAATGTATATTCAAGGAGGAAAAACATGTTTAAGAAATGTACGTATTTTGTATTTTTTTACACAGGAAGGTATAAAGAATATATTTTCTCATCTAAAACTTTATCATTTGTTAAGAAGACGAGAACTGGTGACGTATAGTTCTCTGAAGAAATATTTTCTCCGAAAACTAAAGTGAGGATATGAACTTCTGTGTGAAGAATTTTTTTTTAAGAAATCGAAAAGTCATGACGTATAGCCCTACAAAGTAACGTGTCTTGGAAGTGAGGATATGTTCTTATACATGAGTATTGCTATTACTTTATCTAATCAAAAACAGCAGAGCTATAAAAAAAAGGTGCGGCCAAAAAATAAATAAGTAAATTGCGACTGAAAGATATGAACTAATGTCTCCTTTGGACCTAAATCATTCAAGAACATCCTTCCTCTGAAAATATGTGACATATTCCTTCAGTTATATATCTAACTATTGTAACATTGCACGATCAAATGGTCAGGAAGTTACCATGAACCAAGTACATAAACAAGCTGGCAACATTGGCATCTGACATTATTCTATGCAAATCTTTCAAATGAAGTTTTATTAACCACCTGCGTTCTAGTTTCAGAAGATATCCAATATTCTAAGAATTACCTACTATATATATACATAAAAATAGTAGGTGGAAGCATCTGAAGGTCAGTTCAAGAATTATATACAATTAAATAGAAAAGTACAATAAACTGTTCGAACAAATTAGTATAGTTTCTTTTCTGCAACACTCTAATATACTTTAAGAATCTTGATAGTAATACAATCATATTTTAAAAAATTTTACGTTTCTCTTAACAATCTTGCAAAATGGACTTTCATAGTGCAAGTTTTATGCCGAAGAACCACTTACAAGTTAACCGATTCAATATTTTTACAATTTTCATGTTATGATATCATAAACAAATATTTCACTACATTGTCAAAACAATATTGAATTAATCAATAACAATTTGTATGCACAATGACAATTTTATTTGTGTGGAGAACAAACGTTTCATCAGAAACTTAATTTGTCTTCTTCAGGTATGTTATAAAGTTAAGCATGTATATAGTACCTGAAGAAGGTAGACCAATGTTTTGTTGAAGCATTTAGTGTGTGTGTATATATATATATATATATACTCCACATAAAATGTCATTATGCTTATAAATCGTTGGTGGTTAATTTATTATTATTTTATCAAAATGTGCTTCCACACACAAGTATGGTTGGAGTAAGTACTTCCTTACAGGAGTTTTATGTTAGTTGTTACCAGACTTTAGTTCCAGTGAATATAGTACTAGGTGAGCATTAAAATGATGTCAACATTCATGCACTCTGGATGCATCAAGTTTCTCTTTCTCTCTTTTTAGACATAATACAAGGTTTCTGTAGAGAAACAAGTCACATAAACCATCACTAAACATTGCAAATAATTGAGCACATTCTTCTCACTTGTTTTCAGTAACAATGTTTTACCATTTTAGCTGTACTATTCATTCTATGTTCATTTTAATGAAGCTTTCTGCTTAACACAGTAGCTTCCAACTGGATCTATTATTTCTTAGTTTTCAACTTCTATTCACAAATCAGGTGCTTGTGAGATAGTGTTGTAGCCATAACTGGGTGATAACATTTTGCATACTTAGAGCAAAAGTAATGATTTTTTTTCGATTTCATTATATGATATACTACCATAAACATTAGTTTGTATAATTAATTTTGTTCAAAACTGATATAAACAATCATAAGATTAGAGACAATATTTAATTAATAATTAATTGTTATGATCTAAGTGGTGTGTAGGTTTTCATTGGTGGTTTTTGATATGCTACAGAAGAAATATATGCATCATTAAAAAAAAAAAAGTCCTAATTTTTGGAATGAAGTGACTCATAATTCCTCTTGTCTTGTTTGTTAGGCATATTGTTTATCAAACCTTATATTTACTTAGAACTCAATAAGAAGGTAATACAAAGGGTTATATTTTAAGTAAATAGTTACAGCATATCCATTAACATCAATAATTCTTGAATTTTGATAGTCACCAATAAAAGTACAATTGTATATATATATATTTTTTTTAAATATAATGTGAGCTCAAGAAATTCGTTAAAATTTCTAATATTTTTCTGACCTTCACTTTTTTTCTTAAAACTAACAGTTTTTAGATGTCTTTTTGTTTTCTGTCTAGCTACAAATCAAACTATATATATTCAAAATCATGGTTCTAGATTAGGTTACAAATATCCTCAGTACAAATTTGCAGATTTTCTCTCCACTATGGCTTTTGAATTTGTTACCTAAAATAGACATTGCTAAATTGTATTTAAGTGTATGTAAAAAAGTCAAAACAGTTGCACACTCACCAGCAAGAAAATATTTAATCATTGTGCAAACAAAAAAGAAATATAATGATAATGAGAAGTAGCACTAATAGCTCTGAATCTTTTATAAACTGGTTCAGTTAAGGTATGACATTTTTTTTTTCTTGTATAGCAGCGGCAGCTCTCACACACACACACACACACGTTTTAACTAGGAATTTTAAGATTTTTTGATCATCTCCATTGTTATCAGTGTGTAATGTTATTCCACAAATATTAAGACAAAGAATTTTTTTCTTATTTTGTTGATATTATATTTTAACTTACATAGAACAATTTTTTACTAATGGAGAGCAAGGTTCTTCCCAAAAGATAAATCAAAGTAATATATAAATTGAATATGCTTCCATAGTTTACAAGAACCTTAACACAGGACAGTGTACAAAAATCTTCATCCAGCTAGGAATAAAAACAAGGTCTTTCGTGCAATGAAGACAATCAATTAGAACCTTTTACATGACCAGGACTGCATTACTTTTTTTTTAATGTTATGTACATCTAGGATGTGAATAAGGACCTTCATGCAACAGAAACATATGCATAGATTCTGAGAACAAAAACCTTCATTAGCTAGAAATATGTAAAAGCATATGTTCTTTCAATCAAAACTATGTACAAGAACCAGTATTCTGCCAGGACTATGTATAAGAATCTGTATTCCATCAGGACTACATGAGAACCTGTATTTTGCCAAATCATAATTACAAACCTTCTTTCTATTAGGACTATGTAAATGAAAATGTATTTTGCTAGAAACCAAGAATTAAAAAAAAAAAAGAGAGTAATATTAAAGATTTTTCTTATCGTGAATTGTGACTGTAAATTACCAAAAGACCTTTAATGTAAGCATAAGTAACTATTCTGAACTAAAAATAACAGCAGTCAAACACTTGGATTTTATTGCATCCATTATTAATAGCTTTCTATGGTAAATATAAATTGGATACACACTGGCTAGCTTTGCAAATATCATTACATCTAATTATTGTATGTTTATCAATCAACTTGAAACAATTAAAGAAACAACAATTGTTTATTGACAATACAGAATTTTATCTAACACTCTTCTTTTATTCACTGAAATGTAGTAATTACATACATAAGATGTTCCAGTATAAAGCAATGCTAGGGCTACAAAACTGCAAGATCGTACTGATTTTTAGCACATCTTACAAAATTCTTATTTATGTTGGAACACTCCTCTATTACAACGTTTAAAACATACAACAACACACAAGAAGCATACTTAAATTTCTTAAAAAAAATTATATATACTCCACATAAAATGTCATTATGCTTATAAATCGTTGTTGGTTAATTTATTATTATTTTATCAAAATGTGCTTCCACACACAAATGTGGTCGGGAAAAAAAAAAGCTCTGGACAGGCTGGTTACGTGTATATACATTTGTATGTTTAAAAGTTGTTATTAGAGAAGTTTTACAATAAACTGTAAATAATTAGGTTGTAAATAATAAGTTCTAGCCATGGTACCACAAACATATTTGAACCAGAGGTGGATAATTTAGTAAAACAAAATACAAATTCTGTAAGATCTTTTCAGTTAAAAAAAAAATATACAGGTGGAAAGAATCTCATCTACTTTGGTCTTCTAAATTTGTTGTTACTGCCAGCAGTTTTGGATTTCTTCTTTCCAGATTCTTTTGTTTCATTTGCCTGAGGAGAAAATTTAAATAATAATATAAATTTCTGAGTTATATATGAAGGAAATTTATTCTGAAAGTAAGCCATGGTTGACAATTAATAATAAGACAATTGTCCCACATGAAAATGCCTTCTACTAAGTTTCATTTACCTTTCGTTTCACTGGACTGTTACTAGGAATGACCTTGAAGAAGGAGTCCAGACGACCTTGTGTGCTACCATGACGACCTTTGATAAGCTTCTTTACTCCATTTCGTACTCTCTCTTCACTATAATGTATCAATAAAGCAGATATAATCTATCACGTTTACTAAAATTACACCCTTTTTTTAATACACATTTCTTAAACTATATTTATGATGTTTTGTAGAGTTGTGGAAATTTAACTACCTACCTAAATCCTTTATCTGCACACAGAAACTTCACAAGACCTTCTTCATCTGGCTCATTCCACTTTAACTGACCCATAAAAAAATACAAAAATTTCCAGTTACTAGGAAAGGTAAGTGAAAAACTAAAAAAAAAGGAGAAACTCAAATAATTTTTATATACACGAAACAGTAATCAATTATGTCAGAAAGTCATCTTTCCCTTCTTTATACCTTTAAAACCTTAAATATAAAAAATATTATTTTTTAATTGCAGTAACTATTTCATACATATAAGGAATATAAATTATAGGATAATCAGAACCAATCTTTAAGTACCTTAGATGGCAATACAATATTTTTAATAGCATGTATGTGTCTTAGAAAAATAAGTTTAAAGCTGTATAAATCTTTTTTACCTAAAGGGCTCTTAATTACTAAGATATAACCATGTTAAAATTTTCCTTTTCAGTTGATTTTGGTATCAGATTTTCTAAACACAAACATGCCTTGATTTTCCCTAGATTAATAATGACATGTTTTATATATAAAATCTCAATATCAGTTTTACTTTAGAAACAAATTGGTATTAATCCTACAGGTTTCTTTGTAACAGTTTTGGTGCCACAGTTAACAAAGCACAAATCACATTAATGGTAAAAAGGGCTGAAGGAACATTGCAATAAGGCTGAAAAGTTTTATTCAATACATAATGAAAGAGACAGGTTCCTAGTTTAAAAAAAAATCCATATAGCATTTTAACTGCACCTTACCTACTATTTTACATTTTATAGTGTAAAGTGAAACCAAGCTATATATAAATAAACTTCACTTTTATACAAAATGTTTTTAGACGAGTAAAAATTTATTAACTTACCTCAGGGATTTCCGAGTCGGCCACTTCAGGTTCTTTAAACAGTTTTCTTGCTTCATTAAACATCCAGTCAGAAGGTGTGGTGTATTTCTACATAACATAGTTGAACTAGAGATAACCATGTATGTTCTTCAAAACATGCATGTGCAGTTTCAAGTTACATTTAAATAAAATTGCAATATTTCTGGAAAAGTTTATAAAACTACAAGTTATTTTATCTATCAAATTACAGTTTTAATATGCTTTAGAGTTAATTTGAAACAATGGTGTGTTACATAAAAGTAACCAAATGTTCAATTAAATCACTTTCTGGCTTTTACAAAAAACATGCTTTTGAAGATTCAGCCATAGAAATTTTGTTGAAATTTAACATTTTCCTAAACTGAAAATGTATTTCCAATAGATACTTATATCCAGCCTGATACTCCCACTTATTATGCAACAACTTTCCACCAATAGGAATGTGACATTACCCCTACTGTAACTAGCACCCTATCTAAATGTTGCAGGTGTTAACCACTTCAAGACTGGTCAGATCACATTGGACCAAACCACATTGGAAGTGGGGAGGACAGGTGGGAAATGTGAGAAGAGGTAAGTATCTATCAGAAATAAATTTTTAGTTTAGGAAAATGATAAACTTCCGATATGATATCTAACCTCTTCTCGCAAAAAGTTAGAATCCGACATTGAACTGATGAAGGACTGGTGAGAAGAGATCCCCCTTTAATAAGCGTTGAAAGAAAAATGATGGGGTGTGAAAAGGAATTAAAAACAACACACGCATGGGACACTGCACCACTTCTGAGAAAGGTATACTCTTTGTCCTTCAGTATGGTGTCTCTAGATAGGGCGGAAACATGGAAGGACCCCAAGAAAAAATTACAGAAATAATGGGACCCCATGAAGTAGAGTGGCTAGGGTGTGACAGATCATAAATGGGAGTTTAACTTCAACCAACACCTGGCAGCATCTGGAATTGTACATCAGGTCCACGGTAGGAAGAGAGTCCTTCTCCTTTCATCTCAAAAAGGGGAACCAACAGGGAAGAGGAGCTTCCATACCAAGAACCCACCTCCGTATGTGTGCATCTCCAACACCAGGAACTGACATCCAGCAGATGGTAGGAAGGTGGAGAGCCCGGGTGGGTGTTCTTCTTCAGTCCAAAACCTGGTGGCAATGGGAATTTTTTGCCCAGTCCATAGTTGGAGGAGGGTACCCAGCCTTACACATGTGGGAACTCATGTGTCTCATTCAGCTACAATCAACACCAGGAGCTAACATCCAGTGGATGGTAGGAAGAGGGACTGATATTTGGGATTGCATCTCCAGTCCAAAACCTGGCAGCATTGGAAATTGATCATCCAGTTCTCAGTAGGAAGAGGGTACCATCCAAACACATGAGAACTTATGTGGCTGGTCTGACTCCAACCAACACCCAATCCCCAGGACTATTCATCCAGCTGGTGGTAGGAAGGAGAGTGCCTCAGCTGGAGGGGCCAACTGCAATATATGGCAGAGTGCTACATCCAACACCAAGCAGCATCTTGAATTATACATAAATTCCATAACACCATCTACACCAGCAGAATGCCACCACCCTACTCTAAACT